CAGAACTGCCCAAAGCTAGATACAAGGAAGATGTCACTTTCGATACTGAATGGACAAACTGTGGTTTAATCACACCAAAGAATGTCATGCAGTAAATGAGCTCTGTAGCCTGGAAAGATACAGCACCCTTAAAGGCAGACTGGTAAGTGAGAGAAGCCAGTTTGAAATGGCCAAGTGCAGTAAGATTGCAAGTCAAGAACATTCTGGAAAAGATAACATTATAGATGCACTAGCAGAACTGATGGGTGCCAGGGACTCAGGGAACAGAGAGGGAGGAAGGAATGAGGAGGAGTGATGAACAGGGGGAACCCAGGATTCCCAGAGCAGTGAAACTCTTCTGTATAACATTATCGTGTAAATTACATGACACACAATCACATCACACAGACAAGGAACCCTAAGGTAAAGGATAAACTTTGGCTTATCATAATGTGTTTCTCCATCCACTGTCTTCATCAAATGTCCAACACTGGTTCAGTAACTGATATCCTACACCAATGCAAGATGTTGAAAACAGTGGAGACTATAAATTGGAGATAGGGATGTTTGATACTATGTGTAATGAATGGCTCATTTGAATTGTCAACTTGATTGGATTAAGAGATACTGATACGAAGGGGCTTCTGGGTGTGTCTAGGAATGATTGGCATGTGAGATAGCGAACTGAGGTGGGGAAACCTCCTTAAGCTAGGCAGCGCCATCCAATAGGACAGTGTCTTGGGTGGAACAAAACTTGGAAGAAGGAAGCAGCAGCAGAGCAAGCCCCTTTTGTTCTCCAATGGCTGCTGCAATGGCCTGAGGATCTCAGACTCTGCCTTCTTCACACTCCCAAAGTGGACTCTGCCAGTGACTCTCCAGGGAGTTTCCAGAACCTTTGGTCTGGATTAGGGCAGCACCATTGATCCCTCTTGATCTGAGGCTTCAGCCTCTTGGACTCTGCAGCTACTACTTCTCAAGCTCTCCAGCTGCAGATGGCCACTGTGGACATCCAGCTTTGGGTCAAGTAGGCCAATCTAATAAGTCCCCTTTTTATAATCATACTTCCTCTTGATGCTGTTCCTCTAGCGAACACTGACTAATAAACTATGTAAGCCTGAAATTGCTCTGGAAAACAAAGTTTATTTAATAAAAAAAGTGGATAAATATTTTGCATCGAGTCTCACAAATATATACCCAAGAAACAATATTACATACTGAAAACCTTTTTCATAATAATTCAAAAAAATAAAGGAAAGAGGAAGAGTCATAGTTACAAATTTCAAAACTCGAGAGAAAAGCAAGGAAACTGATTTTCAATACTGGAGAGAAATGGGATCATAAGTCTTTAAAAGGCATTCTAAGTGCTGGTGTGGTGGTGTTGTTATGGGCGAGGCTGTATGGACAATGACCAAACAGACTCCATTTTACCCTGAGACTCCATATCATGTAAGAAATGCTTCTCCCGTGGAAAAGCCCCTCCTCTGTACCCCCTAATAGTTACCTAGCATAACATACTTGGCAACACAAAGTAGCAATTCTTATATAATGTGAAATTGTTCCCTTTGGTTTCCATTTTTCTTGGGCAATGTACCTTTGCTGTCATTCTGGTTACTGATGTGGTCAATTAGTTTCTCGGCTACCTTAGTCGTGGGGGGGGGGAGTGGGCGTGCCCATCAATCGTACACAAGCAAGATAGTATCCATAAGCCAATCATCTTATGCCTAATGTAACCACACTATGAGGGTGCTCTAAATATGGCTATCATCAGGAAGGGTCTTAGTCCCTAGGGAAGGGGGTTTCTAAGAACTTCCATGTCGAAGCTCCTGGCTATCAGTTTCCTGGCCTGGCAGCTTGGCAATGCTAACCACAAAGCTAAGGATGTGGTTTCACTATGGCTCACTAGAGCAGAGCATCCCATCCTGCAGCCCTTCCTATCAGGCCTGAACGAGTGGAGATTCTTCAAGCACTCTGAGCTGCTCATAGCTGCTAGCTACAAACGGAAAGTTATTCCAACATACCTTGTCAGAGATTGATTGTCTAGATGTTAATAACCATTGTCTAACTTGTACTGAACTAGGGTCATTTTGACCCACTTCCCTTCTGCTGGCTTGCTGCTCCGCCAACCTGGAAAGTCCTGCGGGAAATACCAATGTACCCATTGCATTGTCTCGCTAAATGCCCAATTCAGCTTCTGCACCTGCTTACTTATAGTTGCGTCAACCCAGATGGAGTTTTTACCTTTAAATATCTTAAAATGCTCAGGCTTGGAGCTGTTCCTTGCAGAGAAAGTTATGGGTCCTGCGGGGAGCCATCGCCGGCTGGCCAGCTAAATAAAGACTCTTCAATTCGGACAGAAATGGGACTTGATATGTTTTCTGAGGGACCTGCCCCGCAACAATGTGCACCTGCAATTTCAGCAACTAGGGAGGTTAAGGCATAAAAATGGCAAGTTTGAGGCCAGTCTCAACAACTTAGCAAGACACTCAGAAATTTAGTGAGACTGGTCTTCGTCAAAAATAAAAAGAAGGGACTGGGACTGTAGCCGAGTGGCAGAGCATTTTCTAGCATGTGTGAGGCACTGGGTATGATCCTCAGCACCACAGAAAAATAAACAAAATAAAGATATTCTGTCCATCTACAACTATACAAAATAAAAAATATAAAATAAAATAAAAAATAAAAATAAATAAATAAGAAGAAGGGCTGAGGATATGCTCAGTGGTTTATTCCCCAGGAAATCACCTGCCCACCTCCAAAATACTGTTCACAAAGTTGAAATTCTTTTTTGGAGGATAACTAAGCATGAGCAAGTTCATGGCTTCAATCCCCAGTACTCAGTAAGTAAGCAAATAAATAAAAAACAGTCCATAATATTAATTTTCTTGGTCTGGAGAGTAGCTTGGTTGGTAGTAGAGAATTTGCCAAGCATGCATGTGGCCCTCAGTTCAATCCCCAGCAGTTCACACACAAAACAAAACAAAACAAAACAAAACAAACAAACTAACTAATTAAAATACATGTAATGAATGATAAAAAATGATTACAATAAAAAAGGTATACAATGAGAGGCATAAAATACAACAAAATCAATAGAAAGACAACACACTTTCTCACAAAGGAGACTGAATGTTCCCATGATCTACACTCTCTGAAAAAAACACTGAACATTTCAGTAAATTCTATGAACTTTAGGGCATGGTTTCCTGTGTTTTTTGGGTGAACTTAAGAAAAACTACATCTAAAAATGGGAATAGTAGACTGCATCTAAGAACAGCCAAAATGTTGTACAGAACAGAGTGAGTAGAGAGAGCATTTATCTTACTTCCAGTTTCATAAGCTAAAAGGCCAATTTCCAAAGGGGTGGCCCTAGGAGGAGGCAGTTGGCAGTGAACAGGAATCAGGTGAGAGTGCTCATGAAGGGGATCAGCACCCTTATTTAGACACATGTATCTCTCCTACCCAGAAAATGGGTGTCATTTATTATTTCACTGATAAATTATCCAGTGGTTAAATGATCACAGTTGGGTATTTTAGGTATTGCCAAAATCGTCCTTAAAATTTACAATGAAGATGGGTGCAATGGTGTACACCTGTAACCACAGATGTGCAGGGGCCAGAGGCCCTAGGCAATGTAGTAAGACCCTGGCTTAAAATAAATAATCTGAAAGGGGCTGGGAATGTGGCTCAGTGGTTAAGCACCTCTGGATTGCATTCCTGATACCAAAAAACCACACAGTTAACAGGAACTTGTCAAGTCCAGACAACAAGAGCAACAAACTGTCATCCCCTGTCAAATTCTCCACCTTGTAAAGGACAGAAACTAATGTTTTCAAGAAATAACATTCATAAATTTATCCACCACTATTTTTGTAGAAATCGGTTCATATTCTGCAGCAATAATGCAAAACAGAGTTTCTCTCTATCCTAAGTGGCATTATGGAATCTAGGACCTGGATTTCAGACAAAATTGAATCTCACAAACTTTCTATACATACTCAGGGTGAACTTAAGAAAAACTACAGGGGTAGCAAAAGGTAAATTAGTTTTTTCGTTGTTGTTGTTGTTGTTATGGTACCAGGGGATAAACCCAGAGTCATTTTATCACTGAGCCACTTTCCAGCCATTTTTATATTGCATTTTGAGACACAGTCTCATCAAGTTGCATAAGGCCCAGCTAAGTTGCTAATGCTGTCCTGAAATTTGCAATCTTCCTGTCTCATCCTCTGGAGCTGCGAGGATCACAGGTGTGCACCACTGCACCTGACTGTAAATTAGGATTTTTAACAACGGAAATGTAATTAGACTTTTTTAATCCACTTCTTTCAAAAGAGGTATTCTTGCCAGGGACAGTGGGAAGGGGTCTTGGGAAGTTGAAGGAGGAGGATCACAAGGTGGATGCCAGCTTCCACAACGACTGGGAGGACACCTCAAAATTAAATAAAAGGGGAGGCTGGGGATGTGGCTGATAAAGCTCCCTGAGTTTGGATCCCCAATTAAAAAGAAAAGAAATATTCTCTCCAATATTTCACTAGATGAAAAGTGACAATTAGCGGACGGTGTCCATTTGAACCGAGTGGGAAGAACGAACGTCTGGCCGAGCTGTGAGGTGGAGGGAAGGTGGGGTTTAGAAGGCAGGAGGCGCCTGCAATTTGGGGGACCTATAGCAGCCTCCGGAGGAGCTCCCCTGGGAGAAGGAGGGTGCATTTGTGGCCCTGTTTCCTACACGTTGGGAAGAGTGGGTCGGGCCACCAGTAGGGAGCAAAGGGGACACCAGGGCCCTGAGCCGCCCTTCCAAACTCAGGAAACCAGGGGTCAGGGCCCAGGGCCACCTGACAGCGGGGACTCCTCGGCGCTCAGCAGCTGACCTCAAAAACCCAAAACCCAGCTCACCCCGCGATATCAGGGGACAGAGCCCAGGGCTACCCGCCAGCGGGGGCTCCACTGCCTCAGCAGCTCACCCGCGCACAGGGCCCCAAGGCAGGTGCTGACCGCTGCACCTTCAGCCCTGGTCGCAAACTCACCATTTTTGTCTTCTGTGGTGACCCGGCGTCCTCTTGAGGAACCTCCGGGCACCCGAGATCCCCGGGGACACAGGCTGCGCAGAGTCCCTGGCCTGGATCCCTGGAGCAGAGAACTCGGGGCCTGGAGAAGGAGTAGCCCAGTAGCTGAGGAAGAAAAGCCCGGGAGATTGCGGAAGCCCGCCCTTCCCCATCCTCTGCGCACTGATTGGACAGTTCCCCTCAGCGACCCTGATGGATGGTCTCCAGGCCCGCCTCTTCATCGTGACTGACAGCTAACATCATCCAATCACTGGCTGAAATTGGGTTAGTGACAGATTCTTGGCCCCAGCCCTTTTCAGGAGGAGATTTCAGGCTGTGCTGGGAACTAATCCAGGTGGGAAGCCTTGGCTTAGCCGCTGGTACAGAGGTGCCATGTGGCTCTGCTATATGTGTGCAACAGTCATAGAGTGCTTTCCCAGCATTGCGAGGCCCTGGGTTTAACCTCAACACAAAGACAAACCATAGCTACTTGGGGAGGCTGAGGCTGGAGGAGCCCAAGGTCAGTGAGACCTTCTCTTAAAATAAAATGAAAAGGATGGGGATGTAGCTCAGAGGTCCAGGTCAAGCCCCACTGGGTTTATTCCCCAGTACCTCAAAGAAAAATAAAAAACTATGTGATATATATATATATATATATCATATATATATATATATATATATATATATATATATATA